TTGAGCAGCTTCAGTTACCACACCCACACAGCAGAGCACAACAGCCAACACACAAATCACACGGCGCATCATCATCATAACGGTCATCGTCACTCTTCTTCTTCTTGTTCTCGTCACTTGAGTTCACAGGTCTACACAGGGAGTGTGAAAAAGAGAAACAAGAAGGAAGAGACAAAGAAAGATACATACATAGTGAGTGGATACATGAAATAAATAGTAAACCACAAAGAAACTCACATCACGAAAAGGAAAAGCTACCAGTTAAAGAATGCAATACAGCGCAATAACCTTAGTAAGAGTAAATACAAAAAAAAAGCCCACACTCATAAATATTGCAAAAAAAAGGATGAACCACCAAGCAAAATCATCAAGCAAAGAAACAGATATTAACCATTAGCCCAATTTACCCAGTACACACAGAAATATACACCAACTATGGGTCTAATTCTATATGTGTATATATACGCAATTATAAATATAAATTCATCTGTTACTATTATTTCTTTTCCCACTGCAAAAAGTAGTTCATCTTCATCATTATCACAGTGCAAGCCCAGGTGCACACACACAGAGAGTCTCCAATAAAACACATACACACACAATGGAGTAGCAATAATAATTATAGGATAAACATAGAGAGCAAAAAAACACACAAAACACATTAACATTAAGAAACAAAACAAAAAAGAAGAGATAATCCCAACAGGTGAAAGATTAGTTAGACTGTAGTGTGAATGTATGCAAAAAAGAAAAAGAAAAAAAGGATGACCTGAGTCACACACCACCACCACCATTACAATCAGCACACAAGAATACAGGCCAGTGTAACCACAATCAGTAGTGGTACACGCACCCACACAGAACTGCTGGTACTGCTGCCGCTGTCTGCATCACCCTTCTTGTTGTTTGTGAGTTCAGGAGGAAGTGTTGTTGTTGTTGTTGTTGTGGTGGTGGTTGATGTTGATTCCTCATCATTACTGGGTGTATTGGGAGTGTCCCTCGTTGTATCACCTTCTTCAGGTGCAGGTGAAGTTTCTGAAGTAGACTGAACACTATTTCCTTCTTCTTTGTGTTGATTCCCGTTATTTTCTTCAGTTCCCTTACTGCTCACTTCATTAGTTGAAGATGTTGTAGTTCTCCCTGCACTCGCACCATCCCTTCCTTGTGGTGGGGTTTCCAATTTCTCATCTTGTCCCTCTGCAGTTAAGTGTCTCTCATTCCCGTGACCAGCAGCTGGAGAGTCATCCTCATTCTGTGTCTTAGGGCCCAACGCTTCTCATCCATCAATCTTGGGATCAATATTTTCAGTTGTACGTGGACCAGTCTCACGTGATCGAGAAGTAGTTTCAACATCAACAGCAGCAACTCCAGGCTCTCCACGTGCAGAATCAGGATTAGCAGTAATATCACTTGCTGCTCTTTCAGGTACCACACCAACATGTGGATTGTTTTCTACCGCTTTCTGGCCTGCTATGGTGAGTTCATCTTTCGTACCGCTGCTAACACTTCCCTCTTCTCGATGTCCTCCATTTGTGTGGATCACTGGACTATGCGGCTGTACCAGTTCCTGTGAATGATCACGGTTAACAAGATCATCATTATGTTCTTCACCACTACTTTCTAAACACTGAGAATTATCAGCACCAGGGGGTGAACCAGATGAACAAGGAGAAACTTCAGAATGTCCATCACCGGGACCTGGTGGACCCTCAGAATCATGTTGTTTGGGTTTAGCCTCAAGAGCTTCAGCTTCAGCTTGATCAGCTACCACACAGCTGCAGACACAACACAGTGCAATAGTGAGAACACAAAAGAGATGGCGTATTGACATCATTGCGTTTCCCCGTTGGTGTTACTATATCAATTAAGCAGTCCAAAGAAAAAGAAAAACAGAAAGAGGCAACAAAAACACAAATAAAGATAAACACATAAAGAGATCAAAACGAAAAGGGTAATAGCAAGCCAAACATAACAGAGAGCTGCAACCATCACTCAAATAGTGTCCAAATTAAAGTAAAAAGCACACAATACCCCATAACAAACAGATAATCCCAATTACCCCTCAAAAACGGAAAAAATGTAATCAAAAAAACAACTAACGGGAGCAAGCACAGAAATAAATACCCCTTTCACTTTCAGTAGAACCATGTGCAAAATCATGAATATATATGAATTCCTTTTTATTTACTCTCTGCACAAAACAATTCAACGTAACATTAAAACCGAAACCACAATGCGCCCAAACAAAGAAAAATGTCCGAAAACAGAAATTAAGAACAGGACCAACCGCACAAAAATAGCACAACTCTCCATGTACACTGGTCTGTACAAGCAATTAAGAAAATTATTGTATAAATTATTATTTTCTTTCTTTTTTCTGCAGAAAACAATCCAACACAACGTGCAGAGCAAAGCACACAACAATAAACAAAACAAACAGATATTAACAATTGGCCCAATTTACACTGAAAACACAAAGAAATATACACCAGCTAAGGGTGTAAGTCTATATACGTGTATATATGCAATTATAAATATAAATTCATTTGTTATTATTATTTCCTTTTCCCACTCATTGCAAAAAGCAGTTCATCATCATTATCACACTGCACGCCCAGGTGCACACACACAGAGAGTCTCCAAGAACACACACACAAAATGAAGCAGCAATAATAATAATTATATGATAAACACAGAGAGAAAAAACACACAAAATACATTAACATTAAGAAACATAAAAAAGAAGAGAATCCCAACTGGTGGAAGATTAGTTAGACTGTAGGGATGTATGCAAAAAAAGAAAACAAAGGATGACCTGAGTCACACCACCACCACCATCACTCAATCAGCACACAAGAATACAGGTCAGTGTAACCACAATCAGTAGTGGTACACGCACCCAAACAGAACTGCTGATACTGCTGCTGCTGTCTGCATCACCCTTCAAATTTGGCATTATGGTGTTATTGCTGATTCCAGGTATAGGAGGAATTGTAGTGGTGGTAGTTGAGATTGAGTCCTCATTACTGGTTGTATTGAGAGTGACAGAGGTCGTGTTCGCTGTGGTATTCCCTTCTGCTGATGCACCCACAGTATCGACACCATTTGTTGATTCAATCTCTGTAGTTGTCACATTATCAGTGATACTGTTGGGCTCTGTGCTCGTGTTATTTAGTGTGTTTGAATCATCAATAGATAGACCAGATTGAGTTATTTCACTAGGTGATGCATCTGTAGTAGGATGTGGTTTTGAGTCAGCAGTAACATGGGATTCTGTACTTGTTGTACCTGTGATATTTGTTTCTGTATTGTGATTCTCTTGTTGTTGAGGACCGTGTGTGGTTTCCTTTATCTGTTCTTGGTTCCCATCAGAACCTATCACACCTGACTCACCTTTGTGTTCACTGGCGGAAGAATCTGTTTCCTTTTTCTGTGTGTTGCCTTCACTAGGCTGACTGATACTGACACCTTTTACAGGAGAAACAGGAGATTGGACAGTTTCCGTTTTACTCGCATTCAATGGAGTTTGAACTTCTAATGTGTCACCTGCCTTTTGTTCCATCACCTTCTGCTCTCCATCCATCTTGGTATCCTCCAAAACACCATTGTGAGCTTTAGTAACACTGCTGGGTACGTCAGGACGA